TGTAGTACTGTCGCTTTTAAGGCCTGATTAGCTGTTCATCAAGATGCTTGTTTTTGAGAACCAGGAAATTTTTTCCCTTTTTTACCCAATTTACTCTACCCTTTTCACTCTATTTTTGCTTACAATACTTAATTATGTGCTTGATTGCGGCACAAATCGCGAAACAATTACGTAACAAAATGAGAATAAAAGCCAAAATTGAAATAATAAAGGTAGAAAATATACAAAAAATGCAAATATTTGTAGTGTAGCGAAAAAGAAAGCAAAAAGCAATGCTCAGAGGAAACTACATAAATGGAAAGTGATTGCATTTGCTGCGAAAATGTCAAAGTACAAAAATATGAGGAAAGAAAAAAAAACCAAATAACGGCATAACAAAGAAGCCAAGGTAAAGAATAAAGATTCACAAAAAAAAAAAAATCAGTCGACAGAATGTCGCATGAAAATGTCATTGCCCATTCGTTACGTTTCATTTCACTAAGTGACACAAAAGTGCATACAAAGAGATGAGCAAAAAATACGTGAAAACATAAAAATTGCACAAAAACGACAATGCAGCACAAAAGGTTAAACCTGCCCACACATATATGTAGTAGGAATGCACACATCCATGTCTTCATACTTAAGCATTACATAGCTTCATAAGTACATATGTAGAGTGAAGTAATGCCTCTAGGAAATTTATGTACAACCATAATGGCATAACTTAGCTGACGTTGGTTGGCTCTTTCGAAGTTCTGAGAAGATAGTGTATTATAAAGCATTGTTTGTATATTTAAACTGTGCCACATAAATATAAAATTTGCAAGCATTAATTTGGGCGAGTCCTGATGTTATAACACAAAGGAAGGGGGATCTTCATTCTTTTTGCGCCGCCAACGAACGGCAAATGATTTTAGGAGAAGCTTTTTCAAGGCAGAAATACACTCGGATGTTTGCCATTGCCGCTGTTAGATTTTTTTTTCTTTAATTTTGATGTTGCTCAGACCAGGGATCAAACCCCGGTCTTACGAAGTAGTAGTACACACCACTAACCACAGCGCAAAGCGGTTCAAAAATGGCATTTACTGTTCATAATTCACTGGAGCCTTCTTTTTTCACTCAATTTGACTAATGTTTGATCTTTTAAATGAAATATAAAATTTATAAAACTCACAAGAGTTCAGTTCAGCCCGATTTTTGAATTTTCATTTACTTGTATCAAATTTTTTAGTGAAAAGTGCAGAAAAAGTAGGAATTTTGAAAAGAAAATCGATTATTCTGTTCCAGTTAATAAATGTTACATATGTAATAAAAACTAGTTAAAAACTATCGTAGGGTTCTCCCAAAACGAAAAAAAAATCCAAAAAAATTTAAATATTAAAAAATAAAAATTTCACCGAACTTAAGCATTTCTCTTTGAATAATAATAATAATAATAGATTGGCGCTTACACATATGTTAGTGCTACATGGTTTTGAACCATTTCGATTCTCTGGCGAATCCAAGCAGTCCTTCCAGTGGAGGTTTCCCTAAGTTATCCAGGCTCTCAGAATGGTCCCCAAGAAACTTGAGTCGTTTTCTTCGGAGTGCTGTACATTCACAAAGGGAGTGCTGGACGGATTCTACTTCCTCCTCATCTCTACAGCTTCTAAAGAAATCGTTATGCGGTGCTCGGAACCTGGCCGCCATGCGGCCAATGGTCCAGTGTCCCGTTAGTATTCCTGTGAGAAGCTTTACGTTTGGCTTTGACAGCCTTAATAAAATCATTGTTCGTCGTTCGTCGAGCTGTGGCCAGAGCGATCGCGATACAATGCAGGTGTGCAGATTTTCCCACCTGCTGTTGGTGGCTGCCTTGGTCACTCTCTCGACCTCCGAAAACATAAATCGCAGGGAAGGTTTCACGATCTGGATCGCTTCTCCAAGCCCCATTCCAGATCCCTTTCTAACACATTCGTCCGCTTCCTCATTTCCTTGCACACCGTGGTGTCCCGGGACCCAGTAAAGGTTGATTATGTATTGCTGTAGAGCTTGTAGGGATCTTCGGCATTCCTTAACGCATATCGAGTTGGTCGTTGCCGACCCTAAGTTTAGATGGAGCTAGGTCGATCATGCTCACCAGCCTTGCCGCTATGTCGATTGCATATATCTCAGCCTGAAAAACACCGCAGTGATCCGGGAGTCTGTAAGACTCTCTCAGAGATAACTCCTGAGAGAAGACTCTAGATCCTGTTCCGATGCCCATTTTGGAGCACACCATGAAAATGGGTATTTCGTCATCGCTAAGAGCAATACTAAGTTCCCAGTCCCTTCTGCCTGCAAAATAGACATCAAAATTCCGATTGAAATCAGTTTCTGTGACTTGATAGTCGAGGATTGTGGCGTGACCCGTGCAAGTTGTTCGCAGCCTGTTAGACGCTCTGAGTCGTAGAGCGCTTTTAGCTGCGGCACTTTTAACGTATAGGTCTATGGGTGGAATGTCCAGGAGTGTCTCTAGCGCCACCTGGGGCGTTGAGTAAGTCGCCCCCGTTATGCATTAGCATGCCTGTCGTGGCAGCTTTTGCAGATTAAGTAGATGGGTTTCGGTGTCCACCGCCTGCCACCATACCAGCGCACCATAGGTGAGAATGGGTCTAACCACCGCCGTATAAATCCAGTGTATTATCTGCGGTCGCAGCCCCCAGTCTTTTCCGATCGTAGCCTTACAGGAGTAGAGCGCAATGAGCGCATTTTTTCTCCGCTCTTCGGTATTCCTTTTCCAGGAAAGCTTAGAGTCGAGATTAACCCCCAAAAACTTCGCTTCTTTTGACAATTCAAGGCTTGCTCCATTGAGGGACAGAGTTTGAAATTTGTCTACTTTATAGCGCTGGTGAACAGAACAAGTTCGGTTTTGGAGGAGTTAACCCCTAGACCGTTTCTTTCTGCCCACCCCGCAAGATCGTTAATTGCAGATTGTAGAATATCGCTGACCGTGGAGAGGAATTTCGCCACGACCAAAATGACTAAGTCATCCGCATAGGCAACGACCTTGACGGCTTTCGATGTGCGGAGCAGGAATTCGTTAAGCACGAGGTTCGACAGCAGGGGAGATTACAGCCATTGATGCTTTTGGTGCTCAACATATTGTCGATCCAGAGAGTGGTCAGTGGGTCCACTCCTACGTCCGCCATGGAGCAGTGTATGGATGCCAAATTAACATTGTTAAAGGCTCCTTCCACGCCAAGAAAGGCTGCCAGTGCGTATTCTTTGTGGGTTTAAGCTTCCTCTATACTTCCGACAACCTCGTGCAGGGCTGTTTCAACCGACCTGCCTTTTCGGTAGGCATGTTAAGCCTCGCTGAAGTTCTCAGGAGTAATACATCGCGTGATCTGCAGACTCAAAAGCCTCTCCATTATTTTGAGGAGAAATGATGAGAGGCTGATAGGTCTAAAGTCTTTGGCGGTACTGTGGCCCGTCTTCCCTGCTTTGGGAATGAAGAGCACTCGTATCTCCCTCCATGGCCTTGGAATATAGCTACTTGCCCTAAAAATGGTCGTTAGCCAGTGAGTTACCGTGACATTTGTTCGTTGTAGCATGGCTGGAATGATTCCATCCGGACCCGGAGATTCGAAGGGTTGGAACGATCTGATAGCCCAAGCTACTTTCTGTTCAGTGAAGATTTTATCAACTGGACTGCCCTGCCTACGGGTACTAGGCTGTTCTGTCACAGGAGTGACTGTGTCCCCAGCCGCACCCAGGGAAGTGGAAATCCATCAGGTGTTCTAGTGTTTCAAAACTCGTTAAAATACCAACTTGGCACAGGAGGAAATCGCAAATTAGCTGCTTACTGGTTAAATTTTTTTACCAAATGGCTGTTGAACTGGCTACTTTAAACAAAAGGGCGGTAAGTGATTTACTGAAGTAAATACAAGTACCTACATTCAAACATATAATGGGTGATTTTTTTGAGGTTAGGATTTTCATGCATTAGTATTTGACAGATCACGTGGGATTTCAGACATGGTGTCAAAGAGAAAGATGCTCAGTATGCTTTGACATTTCATCATGAATAGACTTACTAACGAGCAACGCTTGCAAATCATTGAATTTTATTACCAAAATCAGTTGGCAGAAAATCCGCTTTTTTATCGACAAATTTTGTTCAGCGATGAGGCTCATTTCTGGTTGAATGGCTTCGTAAATAAGCAAAATTGCCGCATTTGGAGTGAAGAGCAACCAGAAGCCGTTCAAGAACTGCCCATGCATCCCGAAAAATGCACTGTTTGGTGTGGTTTGTACGCTGGTGGAATCATTGGACCGTATTTTTTCAAAGATGCTGTTGGACGCAACGTTACGGTGAATGGCGATCGCTATCGTTCGATGCTAACAAACTTTTTGTTGCCAAAAATGGAAGAACTGAACTTGGTTGACATGTGGTTTCAACAAGATGGCGCTACATGCCACACAGCTCGCGATTCTATGGCCATTTTGAGGGAAAACTTCGGAGAACAATTCATCTCAAGAAATGGACCGGTAAGTTGGCCACCAAGATCATGCGATTTGACGCCTTTAGACTATTTTTTGTGGGGCTACGTCAAGTCTAAAGTCTACAGAAATAAGCCAGCAACTATTCCAGCTTTGGAAGACAACATTTCCGAAGAAATTCGGGCTATTCCGGCCGAAATGCTCGAAAAAGTTGCCCAAAATTGGACTTTCCGAATGGACCACCTAAGACGCAGCCGCGGTCAACATTTAAATGAAATTATCTTCAAAAAGTAAATGTCATGGACCAATCTAACGTTTCAAATAAAGAACCGATGAGATTTTGCAAATTTTATGCGTTTTTTTTAAAAAAAAAGTTATCAAGCTCTTAAAAAATCACCCGTTATATCTTAAAGTTTTGAGTCTCCAAAAATGGAGTTTTATTTCTAAGGCAAACTGTGTAAAATAAACGAATAAAATTAAATTAAGAATCGCAAAATCAGCAGAAAGTGTCAATCCAACAAACACAATAAACGCAAATTATCCAATCAGCTTCGCACATTCCATATTTGCAGCTATTTCTTATTCTTCGCAAACTCTACTCCTTTCTTGATATTCTCCTTCAGCTCAGGTATCAATTCATTCATCCAATCCGTTTCAAAGTTAGACAATTCTGGTAAACCTAAATTCTTATCAATACCTTTCTTGCCCAGTTTGAGTGGTGTTGCGAAGAATGCACATTCGGTGGCAACTGATTCCACATATGAACACTCAATTGGGTCACCTAGGCCCGAAAGACCCAGCAGCAGCGAACTAGTGAATTTAGCTACCGAATGCGCAATCACCAGTGAGGCGGCGGCGCGGTCGCCCTTCGCTTTTGCCACCTCTTCCTCAGCATTGCGCACTTTCTTAACTATGGGAAGTGCATCATGCTCATCTTCGAGCTTAAAATTTGGCTTGCATTGTGAGAGTATTGGAAGTATGGTACACTTTGAACAGCCACCAATAACAGGTACATCTACTCGGGCGGGATCGACTTGCAAGACATCGCCCATAAAGTAGCGCGTGCGCACCACATGCGGCGTGCTTACGCCAAACAAGTGATTTGGATCGTAGACATTTTTCTGCAAATCGAAAAGCGAATTATTTTAGTATTTTGTATTTTTTAAGGTCAATCAAACAAACCGTTTTTAGTATTTCGGCTGCTAACGGAACAAGTGAGTTGATTGGACTGGTGACCATGGCGATCAGCGCTTTAGGGCAAGTTTCAGCAATCTTCGGCATTATTTCGACAATAATGCCGGCATTCATTTTAAAAAGTGCATCATCCGACATGCCCTTCTTGCGCGGATGCCCAGCAACGATTATTACCACATCAGCGCCTTGGTGAGACAAAAGAGATACATACATATAATTTTATTATATTAGTAATAATAAGCTCTTCAAATTTGTTGCCTACAATACAAAGCTTTTTGTATATTCTCTATTTTATCGTAGCCAGCCACTAGGGAATCGGTGTCTACATGCAAGATATCCATAGCCACGCCAGCCGCTAATTTGATGTCGTAGAGCGCGAGATCGGTGACACGGCTATCTCGTTTCAGCAGCAGCGATAGCGGTTGACACACATTACCAGCGGCGCCGATAACACAAACACGGCTATTGGTCTGCCAAATGCCAAAATTTGTTTAATTCTTAAAAAATGCAGAATGCACTCGTATTCTTACGATTTGTGTGGTGGAAAATCGTCGTGCGACTCTGAGAAGTGATCTTAGAAGAATACACGTCTGCCGCAGCATCTTTTACTTTGCTTTTAATTATTTTGGTTAATTTAAAAACAGTTCAATTATTTTTTATTTGCTTCTGAAATTGACTGACTTCAGTTAAAGGAACTTCAAATATAACTTTGTTTAAAAATATATTTTGAAAAGCTATAGTATTTATTCATCCTTAAATGGACAGATAACTTAAATGTGACTATTAACCTATTTTCAAGTAAAGGATAACTGTGGAGGAAATTAATTGTATCAAGGTTTTGAAATCGAAGGTAAAGGCTCTAACATTTCATCGTACTGAAGTTTCAAAACCAATACCGAAATGAGAACAATACAGTCGAGAACTTTCTCAATAGGAATTATGTCTGAACAAAACCCTGTGGAACGTTGCCAAAGAGAACTAATTGCGAACAATACTTCCGGAATCATTTGTAAGAGAACCAAATGGGAACAAAAGTCTCCGGAACGCTTTGGAAAATAACTATACGGTAACAAAAGTCTAAGGAACTTTCTACCAATTTGGGGACTAAAGTCTCAGGAACTAAAATTTATCAAAAAAGAACTAAAAGATAGTTATGCAAATTCAGTCAAAGACAGACTTAAGACACGATCTTTTTTTGTTTTTGCACAGAAAGCGAAAAATTGTTCCATAAGGCGACAGTTCACCTTAATGATAAACGATCCGCAAGTTGCGTTGTTATGGGTACGTTCATGAAATTAGATTTTGTTCTCATCCAGAACTAAACCAAAAATGGAACACGTTCTTGGTCCCTGTTCAATACCGGCAACTTGTATACTAAAACCGGTGAAAAGTCAGATACATCAACTTTGGATAAAAGTACATATATTTAAACATATTGGCTGAATTTCTTTATTCATTCTGAACGTTTGGAATAAACTTTTTCGTTTACTTATTCTTTAGAACGTTCCTGATGATATGTTAACGTATATTTCAAACGCATTCTTTTTATTCCGGCTGGGAAATGGGATTATCCGGAATGTATAAAGAAACGCAGCCATTATTTCTTCAGCTATATATATGATCAGCCCACAAAACTCGCAGTCCGTGTCTACAGAAAGCCCGATTTTATTCAAATGGTACCTTGACTTGCAGTGCCTTTTGAGATAGCCCGGCTAAGATCAGGACGTCTTTCGGAATTTCTCCCGGAAAGAGTTATGAATTTGTTTAATCTTCTCATTCTTTTCGACTTCCGCTAGTAGGCAATAATCTGAAATTCCTCCCAGCTCCTTAGTAGTTCTGAGGTGCATCCTTAATATGTGCCGCAGTAAGGATTGGGACCATGCAAACGCATTTGGGCTCCACGTTTAGCGAGACAGTTCCTTCAAACCCTTCCGGTCCAGGGACGCCTCACAACGTATCTCTATTAGTTCCAAAGAGTTTTACAACTTTCCACAAGCTTTGATGTCATTCTTAATGAGCCTAAGGCCTTTAATGCTGCCTGACTATCCAACATCATATTTATTATGGCCTCATTTGTCCTGCTGCGAAGACATTCGCGAACACAGACTTCGATTGCGAAGACTTTTCCCAGGAATATGGTTGGGTAAGAGCTATGGTGTTCGATTATTCGCCTTTTTCCAAAACTGTTTTTCGAGTTATTCGAAAAACGGCAATTAAAAAAAAAACCGGTTATTTGTTTTGAAATTAAGAGAAAACCGGATAAACCGGTTTTATTTTACATAGTTTTCATGCAGTCAAAATGCCTGTGTTGGTATGAAATCATGAACAAAAATCTTTATATTAATACGCTAACACAAATTTTGTCTCCGTTGGTTTGGCGATTCTACCGAACCGATTTCAAAACCAAGAACACCGTTGGAAAGGCATTTTACCGTAGTTAAGCAGAGTTTTTATGGTTTCACAATTTTTTGAAAATTACGGCCAAAACCGTTGTTTAAAAATTTTCGAAATGTGTATAGATGTTGCTGCAACATGTTCAATTTGACATGTTTCGCCTGTTGCTTCACTACACATTTGAAATTAAGCTTCGAAATAAAGATAAATATGAAGATAAAGAAATAAATGATAACGATGAAGTCAAAAAAAAGAGGGCAAAAGTGAAGATAAAGTCGAAAATGGAGACAATGACCGATACATAAGAATTAGGGTAACTGAAAGGGTAAGAACATTTCTTGAATTTATGAAGTGAAACTTCTTTAGCGGCAGTTGGTTGGGAGTAAATCGGCAAATTCGAGGGGAATAATGCACATGGAAATGGTACTCAGCGGTTTAACGGTTTGAGAATAAAAACAAAAACAAAGATGCCTAGAGGTTCAGGCAAACCCGACGATCAAAGTAAATTTAAACACTTTAAAGTAAAGGTGAGAGGAATATGCAAAAATAAAGATAAATATGAAGAAAAGGATGAGGTGAAGATCGATATTGTTAACGATACAAAACTCGATATTTTTATCGATATAATAATCATATTGTTATCGATAAAATAATCTATATTGTTATCGATACTGTTATTGATTAAATAACCGCTATTGTAATCGATATAATAATCAGTAATAATAATCGATATTGTTATCGATACAATAATTGATATTGTTATAGGTATAATAATCGATTAAATAATTGATTTTGCTATCGATTTAGTCATTTATATTTTTAACGATATGTACAATAATCGATACTGATGGTTGTTATATTTATCGATGAATTAATCGATCTTACAATCGTTGTATTTTTCTATATGTTTATGGATATTGTTATCGGTATTTTTATCGACACAGTTACCAACAGGGTTATCGATATACTAATCGGAACATGGAATGTGATCACATTACATGACATCACATCACATTTTATCACATGATATAAAGAGACATAACATGATATTACATCACATAATATGATATGACATCACACGATATAACGTGACATCACATTATATGGCATGACATCACATGACTTGACATCACATGATATGACATCGTATGGTATGACATCATATGACATGACATCACAGGATATGACAACACATGACATGACATCCTATCACATCACATAAAATCACGTCACATCTTATCACGTCATCGCACCTCATCTCATCTACGTGAGAAGAAAAAGAAAAGGATATAAGCAAAGATGTGAAAGATAAAAGCAAAGATGAAGACCAAGGTAAAGTTACCGATTTCAAATCCAAAAACACCGTTGGAAAAGTAATTTTCTGTAGATGAGGAGAGTTTTTATAGTTTCGAAATTGGTTGAAAATCGGCGTTTAAAAATTTCCATATATGTGTATGGTTGTTTTTGCAACCTGTTCAATTTAAGCGGTTTCGCATTTGGTTTTACTTCGTATTTGAAATTAAACTTTGAAATAAAGATAAATATGAAGATGAAGAAACAAGTGATAACGATGAAGACAAAAAAGGCAAAAGTGAAGATAAAGTCGAAAATTGAGATAAAGGCGAAAATGGAGACAATGAGAAATACATAAGGTTAACAGAGCTGAAATTTTCCGATAGGAATCGAAATAAAATCAGCCATAAAGGTTACTGAAATTTATCGAATCATCGAAGTTTATAATTATCGAAATTTATCCATGCTTATTAAGTTATCGCACCGTATCGAATTATTCAAACCGATCAATGTTTACTGAGTTGTCGAAATTTATAGACACAGAAACTAAGTTGTCCAAATTTACGGATAGTTATCGAGCTATAAAAACGTGTGGGATTAACGAAATTTGTCAAGTTAAAGAAATGTATCAAGTTATCGATATTTATTGAATGATCATTATTTATAGACTTAACGAAATATATCGAGGTGACGTAATGCATGGAGTTCTTTCAACTTACAGAGTTATCGATAATTATTGATCTACTGAAATTGGTTGGTTCAACGAAGCGAAGTTTATGGTATTTTCAATATATATCGATTTATCGAAATTTCAAGATTATATAAGCTTATCGATTAATCACTGCTTATCGAATTTTATCGTGCTAACAGAGTGTAATGAGATATCAAAATTTTTCGATAGCTTTCGAAAAATGTGGAGATGTCAAAAGTAAAAATTTATAAAGGTATCCAAAGTTTTTAGATTTTTGAGTTATCGAAATTTATCGAGCCATCGAATTTCACATTTATCGAAATGGGTCGAGTTAACGAATTTTGTTGAGTTATCGAATTTTAGTGTTCTTGAAATTCATCGAACTATCGATATGTATCAAATCATTGAAATTTATCGATAAACTTGAATGTATCGGGTCAATTCAAGTCCTGCCGAGGTCCTCCAATGACCAACAGAAGATTTTCCGGTTAGTTAATTTGTACAGTATAAGTTTTGCTACGTGTTAAGTTAGAAAACCTCTCCAAGGCTTCTAAAACTAGAAAAACTGTCGAATTTCGACAGTAACTGGCACTCTAGTTACAATAAAACTATTAACATTAAAGGTAGCTTTTATTTAGAAAAGGGCAAAGTAAAATAGGTCAAAAATTCTTTGCCATGTGCTTTGATGTGGCTACTGCTACTGCATGGTTAAATTTCTGGTCTTAGCAACATACAAAAAAAAGAAAAAAACAAACGTCCGAGTGTACTTCTTCAGAGCTGGAGTTAAAGTGTAGATCCCTCCATTTAGGGGTTTCCCTTAAACTGGAAAAAGCCGTAAAAGCACATCGGAAAACTCAACACTTTTATGGAGAGGTTAAGATTTCCATGAAATGAAAAAAACGGTTTTTTGGATAAAAAAAAAATCCGGCTAATTCGATATTAGAAAAACGAAGATTTCAAAAAAAACCGGCTATATATCAAAACCCCGGTTGAAACCGGTTTGGAAAAAGCGAGTCCATCACCCTAGTAAGAGCCCATTGGCAGACTATTCTGAATTTTGGTCCAAGTACCTACGCTATCCCTGTACCCAGGGCGTCCAGCTGTGCATCTTGCCAAATAGATTGCTGATGAGATTATATATATAATTTTGTTTGCAGTATTTTTAAAGTTGATCATGCACATACTAGCTTACATGTATGCAAATTCATAAATGTAAAAACCTGC